GTGGGTGGGTGTTATATCGAAACCGTGAAAACAGCTATACTGTAACACTGCTCGATCCGGAGCTGCTGAACCCTAAACCCTAAACCCTAAACCCTAAACCCCAAACCCTAAACCCTGAGCCCTAAACCCCAAACCTTGTGCAGGTGGTCTTGCGGGCCTGGCGAGAGTGCATGCTGGAGTCCAGATCTGAGAATGCCCGCAGCTCAGTGGACCCTCTTGGAGGTTCATGGGTAGTCATACATGGGGTTATAAGGGGTTCCGTTAAAGGGTTCCTTTAGAGGGTTCGATGGGGTTTAGGGTTTAGGGTTTGGAGGTTCATGGGTAGTTATAAATGGGGTTATAAGCAGGGTAGCTATAACTATAACGCACACTCGGGGACTTATAACCATACTTATAACTATCCCTGAACCTCCAAGCTGAACACAGCAGCGATGCAGGGCACCCGAGGGGATGCTTAGGTTGTCAGGAAAACAGGCGGGCCTAGGGTTTGGGCGGTAAGTTCCCTTTTTACTCCTCAAAAAAGTTCATCAAAGGGTGCAAGGTTTAGAGTGTCGATTTAGACTTTATGTTTTAGGGTTTACGGCCTCGATTTCGGAGTCTGGGTTGAACACGAAATCTTCGCTTCGCAGGAAGGCATCTCGAGGATCTGCCACAGAGAGCTTTGAAGCAAGTTCCTGTCATCTCATTGCCATTCCCCAAAGCCAGCAAAAGTTCAACCTAAACCCACCAGAACCCAGATACTTTTGTGTAGGGTCCCTATAAAACCCATATTATGGTCTATAAGAAGAACCTACAAAAACGTGGGTTTCGGCAGGTTAAGGAATGGCTCATGCCTTTCTCAGAGCATTTTGCAACCTGGCCTGGGGTGGATGCGAATCGAACCTGGAGCTTCCAGTATGAAACGGTTTCTTATGATTAGGGTTTAGGGTTTAGGGTTTAGGATTTAGGGTTTAGGGTTTCGGCTTTAGGGTTTACGATATTATTGTTGCTACTGTGTATCTATGGTTGTTCTTCTCATTATGATTATGATGTTCTACAGGGGCACTGATGGGCCCTGCGATTCTCCCAGGCGCTGAAGTTTGAGCGCGCGCGTGCCACAGAGAGTCCGGCAGCCCAGAGATGGGGGGGAATCGGGATGTTTGGAGGCAGGCTCTTTGAATCAGCATTTTTGTTTAGGATTTATGGCCTTTACTAAAGGGCTGAAGCTTCGGCATGAGGCGGGCAGGAGGGCATGTGCACTGCAGCCCCTCCTCAAAAAAGGGCCTCCGCTAATGTCTAGCATCGACAGAGGAAACAAGTTTAGAATGCATTGCCCAAAAGCCCGAATTTATAAGCTGCCTCCTGCTATCAACGCCACAGCTGACAGAGGTGGTTGGTCAGGTATATGGCACCTGGAGAGCTAGCTTGGGGAATCCGATTAGTTAGCCAGTCAAGATCAGGGATTAGGGATGTAAGGGCCTTGCTGAGGATGGATCTAGGATTCCATGTGTCCCGCGGTCAGATTTACGCCCTTACGGAGGCCCGTGCCAACCCAGCAGCACTTTCTGAAAACACCCTCACCAGCAGGAATAGAAGGAGGTTCAAGCTCGAATCTGTAGTTCCACGCAGGCTTAAACGGCCTGAGCTGAATATCACTGTGGTCTCCTCCAGGCCAGTGATTTTACAACCCCACAAACTGTTTCGATGATGCCATAAACTCTAAACCTAAACTGTGGCCACAGAATAAACAAAGCTTCACAAGCCGTCTAAACCATCCTTTCAAGTATGCTGCATCGCAAGCCTTTAAAGCCAGAGCCCAACAGTGCAAACCCCTTTGCGCAACCATCTGAAACCGCTTTGCCCAGGGGAGAAGGACCGGAAAGTTCAGGCTCAACGTCGCTTTGCGATGCTTGCAGCGGAGGCCGCTTGAAAGGTTGTCGGACTGGGGGTCGGGGTTTTACGGATTTACAGCTTAGTGCCGAAGAGACTCTTCGAGCTTGTATGGGGTCTGGCCTTTTGAAAGAGCTTCTACAAGGAGCTGCAGGATGCATTTTTCCTGATGGCATGTCACCAGATGATGCTTTAGAATGGCCCCCGGGTAGCACAAGGACTCGAAGCAGTCCGGCACGTGCCAGATTCCCTGCATCCTGGGGACATTCCCAGTACTCCATTGCACCCGTGCACGTGCAGACGATGTGATGTGGAGCTGCCGGAAGTACATGCTCCTGTGCATGACTTGGCTCCTCCCTGCAAAGGTTGCAGCAATTTGTTAAAGCAGGTTCCAAGCTCAAGCCATGGAAGCCGGTGTTGCTGTTGTTGGCGCCTACCTCGTGCGATCATGGTTGTTCTCAGGTCACAAAGAGAACACGGAGGACTTAAGGTCAGAGCTTAGTGACGCATTGAGGAGTCCTGGTTACTTCCAGCAGTTTGTCCAAGGGCTTGTACCGCACAGGGTTCCGTCAGACGCCTTGGAATTGATCGAGGCTGTGGTACGAGAGGTGCTTGGAGGCCAGGCTTGCCTCAAGCTCGAGGGCTCGGCCAAGAAGCACACCAACATCACAGGATCAGACCACGACTACCACATCAGAGTACCAGATGGTTGGTTTAGTTCCGCCGAGCCTGTAACCCGCAACCAGATGGAGCAGATTCGCGACATCCTCAATGCGAATTCTCAGTGGGAGTGGGGCAAACTGGAGGCCGACATGGGACCCACAGCCCTCAAGGTTCGGTACCAGGCAACATCTGCGGCTCGATTGACATCGTGCCTTTCAGGGGCGACTACTTTGACAGGCGTGTAGTCGTGGAGCCGGCGGACAGAGATTTCTTCAACAACATTCGTAGGCAGAATGCCGCCCGCGCCTTGAAGTTTGTCGCTCACACGTTAAGATGGGGGCGAAAGAGCTATGACCTGGAGCGACATGTCGTGGAGGGTGATGTGTTCTTTTCCCACACCGGCTCAAACGACCCTCACGGAATGCAGCTCTTCAAGAAGGCGATGCTGAAATATGAGCCCCTTTAACCGCGGAGTTGGCCTCAGGATTTGCTTCAGAGGCTTCATTCAGCCCGCTTCTGATGATGACTGCAGCATTTGTCCTTTTACACAGACACGGAAGGCTTCCAAAGATGAGGATATGCGGCATCTTCATTCGAAGAAAGCACGATACAGTATGATCACACTCAGGAACTTGGCCGAAGAGCTTCGTCGCAAAGGTGTGGAAAATAAACGGAGCTCGCCAGATATATGCAAGCTACCCGTAAGACGCACTACTCATTACCCACGGCTACATCTGCAGTTTGAGGCAGAGGCAGGCTGCTTGACAGACAGCGGCTGTAAATGTAAATTGCGAGAGTCCAACTCCTAATTGATCAGGCGCTTTGGTGCCTAAGCCATAAAATGTGCATCCGCAGTTTGGCTTAAAGTGTCGCTTCACGCCTGGCGCCTGCATCCGAGTCCATAGGCCTCGCCACGAAGATGCCACCTGGCTGACACTCGGAACTCGCAGTCCAAGGGTGTGGGGTTTCGGGTTTCAGGGTTTGGGGGGCCCTAAACCCTAAACCCTAAACCCTAAACCCTAAACAGGCTCCTCGCCTGGCTTGTCCGAGTTGTGAGAGTGTAAACCCTAAACAGGCGGCAACAGAAGCTAACCGAAGAGAGCCCCAGGCCCCAGGTTCAGAGACAGCCCTTCGGGTTCCTTGCAGCCAGTATTAGGGTTTAGGGTTTAGGGTTTAGGGTTTAGGGACATTGGCCGGGCGAGCTCAATCAACCCTGTGTCAAGAAGGGTTTAGGGTTTAGGGTGACGTCGCCGGGTAGTGATCAGAAGCATTTTTCAGCAGGCCAGTCAGATAATGTTGCAGGTTGGGAGGCTCCTGGTGCTTTTCTCGGACGAGCTTAGACTCCGAAACTCTGAGATCATTCTGAGGATGCTGGACCCAGCAAAGCACAGTTGCTGATTGCATCGCCGCAAGAGTTGTCCTTAAGCCGGCAGGTTCCGTTTGATTGACAATCGGGATCCTGCCATGCCGATCTGGCTACCAACGCGCAACGCGTTTCTTCGATAACAGCTAGAGTTGTGCGATAACCCTCTTCTGTCTGGTGCGTAGTCGGGAATGGGGGAATGGATCCCTATGATAGTCCCTTAAGGTCCGTTATAGCAGTCCCTATAACCCATTCCCCCATTTCCTACTAAAACCCTAAACCTAAACCCTAAACCCTGAACCCTAAACCCTAAACCCTGAACCCTGAACCCTAAACCCTAAACCCCTCTTTGTTGTTCAGCCGCTGAGGCGTGCCTTCGCTGTCCTGGCCCTCGCCATGCTCGCCGGCGCCTCGCCGCTGCTCCGCGCAGCCCTCAGAGCCGCGGCTTGGGGTTTAGCACCCGGGTTTCTTCAGCTCACACCACATGGTTGGGCCTTACATGTCCTTGACCAGACCCATGGATGGCAGTACACAACTCTTTCTGGTCATCTTCCTCAGCTACACGAATGGGAGTCCGCTCTTGTCATGCTTACCATGCTCTGGAGTCCTTGGGTCATACAGTTGTGTCTCAGCAGTGACGTACGTGATATCTTCAGTGGGGTATGCTCTCCTTTGCAAGCTTTACTATGGCAGCAACGTCGTCGAGCTTTGCTTTGCGAGTATGTTGATGCGCGTCAATATTCTATTCT